TAATTAAACCTTTAACTGGACAAACATTCTTTTGATCAAACCCCTACTAATCAAACCTTTAACTGGACAAACATTCTTTTGATCAAACTCCTACTAATCAAACCTTTAACTGGACAAACATTCTTTTGATCAAATTCCTACTAATCAAACCTCTTACTTATCAAACTATTTACTAACCAGACCTATTGATTAAACTGTTAACTAATCAAACCATCTATTGATCAAACCTTATACAAGCTATTTAATGGCTGAACTTTATATTGATCAAACTTCCAGTGATCAAACATTTTATTGGTCAAACCTCTTACTGACCAAATCTCTGACTAATCAAACCTGTTATTGATCAAACTTTCTTCTGAGCAAACCTTTTAAAATCATTTATGGATCAAATTTCAATTGATCACATTATTAACTTATCAAGCCACCTAAAGACCAAATTATTTACTGATCAAACCTTCCACTAGTCTTAATTTGTATGCTGAGTTGGAGATTATAAACTATACTAACAGACATTTCAATCCCAATAATATGACATAATATGAAAGCCATAAAATTACAACATTAAGTAAAGATCAAGACCTCTGTCAATCTCAGTGTTAAGAAAAAAACCCAGTAAAAATATTTTTTACTGAAATGATCAAAAAAGCTTCTGATAATAATATTAAAACTATGTAGAAAATATGGTTTTTAAAACATATAAAATGGCATGAATCCAAAAAATAAAAAAAGGCCATATTTAACTGCATGTTGGTGTTGAGCAAATCAGTGATAAGAGCATGAACATAATAATATGTTTAAAATGCTGCACAGATACTCTAAATCAATAAAACCATTATAAATCACAAAACAATTTTTTTTACATGCCACTTTAGGTGATAATCTTTTTGCCAGATTCAAACTGAGAATATAGTAAAAACTTTTTACTTTAAGCAATTGAACCTAGTATTTTATTTTTTAATGTGAAATCTGTGTCACTTCATATACAAATGTAATAAGGTAGACCATCTAGTCTGATGGCTGTTTTTTTCATTGTTTCTGATTTACAAACATTTGCAGGACTTTCAGCTAGTGACCTTGAGAACTTATGGAAAGATGGGTCAGTGAGTGAAAAAGAGGGATCATTAAAAACTAGGGTAAATGAAGTGAGCCACATCACATCTACATCACTTTCTGCTAGCCAAGAATCAATGTTGCCTACTCACATTCCAAATCACTTGTTGACCAGGAAACATGATCAATGTAAGTTATCAAATTCTACCAGAACTGGAGTTACATACCAAATAAATTCTGTTTGTTCATCAAAGGAAAATGGTAGCTGGTACCATGATCATCAGGTTCATCCACTGTTTGGTAATGGTGTTTGCAACTGGCCTGGATGTGAAGCAGTCTGTGAAGGTTTCCAAGCATTTATTCAGTAAGTTAGGCACCATATCTTTTAACTTATGTGTCCTAATAGTTTCTTCTAGTTGAACAACAATAGGAATATTTCAGTAAGCATAGATTCAATGATTTTTTAACTGCCATAGGAAGGTTTTAGTAAGCAAGCATTTTGGTTAGGTCTTTGGTCTGCTAGTAGCCCTCATTGCTGTGATTGTCAGAACAGGAAAATTTTAGTGAGTAAGCTATTTGTTAGGTCTTTGGTATGCTAGTAGCCTTCATTGCTATGATTGTCAGAACAGAAAAATTTTAGTGAGTAAGCTATTTGTTAGGTCTTTGGTATGCTAGTAGACCTCATTGTTGTGATTGCCAGGACAGGAAAATTTTAGTGAGTAAGCCTTTTGGTTAAGTGTAAAGTTTCATAGTAACTCTTACTGTAACTGTCACAAGAAATTCTAAGTAAGTATGCCTTTTTAAGTCTAAGTCTTTGTAGGACATAAATTAAGAAATAATTAAAACACATTTTATTCACAGTCCATTTAGTGAATTAAGAATGCTTATAAACAATTATTTTATGACTGTGTTTTATTCTGGTATGTAGTAACCACTATCTATTTAATGTAGACATCTGAACAAGGAGCACTACCTTGATGATAGGAGCACAGCTCAGGCTAGAGTACAGATGCAAGTGGTTTCTCAGCTAGAAACTCAATTAACAAAAGAGAGAGGCAGACTTCAAGCCATGATGACACACCTCCACACAAGAACTACAGCAAATTTACCTTCCCCTGATTCTTCAACTCAGGACATGGTGAGTAACAACATGATGTGACATCACCACACAAGAACTACAGAAATTTTACCTTCCCCTGATTCTTCAATTCAGGACATGGTGAGTAACAACATGATGAAACGCCTCCGTACAAGAACTACAGCAAATTTACATGGTGAGTAACAACATGATGAAACACCTCCACACAAGAACTACAGCAAATTTACCTTCCTCTGATTCTTTAACTCAGAACATGGTGAGTAACAACATGATGAAACACCTCCATACAAGAACTACAGCAAATTTACATGGTGAGTAACAACATGATGAAACACCTCCACACAAGAACTACAGCAAATTTACCTTCCCCTGATTCTTCAACTCAGGACATGGTGAGTAACAACATGATGAAACACCTCCATACAAGAACTGCAGAAAATTTACCTTCCCCTGATTCTTCAACTCAGGACATGGTGAGTAACAACATGATGAAACACCTCCATACAAGAACTATGGAAGATTTAAGTTCCCCTGATCCTTGAACTCAGGAAATACTAATAAAAAACTTGATTTATACAATATTTTAATTTAATGAATCTCCAACAGCTCACAGCAGGTGATATACTACACCAGTCTCACATAGAATATTATTTAGTATCATGATTTACAGATATCATATTCAAGTTTCTGTAAATTTCTAAAAGTATTGTATAACACCATTTTCTATATACTTCTCTGAGTATGGTATAGCAATTCCTATATACTTCTTTAAATGTGGTATGATACACCAAATCTTACATACTTCTTTAAGTATGGTATAATATCCAACTCTAATTTGTTGTTTTTTATATCAGTTATTTGCTTTATTCTATTCAACCTCAGAAACAGATTTAATACTATCCATACTTGATTATTTAGTTGAAGGAAATTTTAGTTTTACCATTTTAATTTCAATTTTGATAAGTATATACAAAGCAGTTTATAACAAATATGTTTAGAATAATGTTCATTTATTTCATTGTTATAGATTTCATTAATTTATACGTTTGTTTCATAATCTTTATAAAGTAATTGTAATATCCCCTTTCTTTAGTCTCTCTTTCTATATATTATTTGTAGTGAATTCAAACTGGTACCATTCTGTTTTAGCTCATGCCTCCAGTCTCCAAACCAGCACCAACATCACTGCAACAACTATCCCTGCCAATAACATCAATATCTTCTTCTCTGGGTCACTTACCTCCTCTCATGAAACCAGCACTATCATCTCCACCATCTGCATCAGTGTCTTCTACTGATTCACTCACAGTTACCTTGCCAACAATGACCAACTCAACATCATTGATGACATGTCCACCGAGACTAATTCCAGCAAATCCCCAATCTTTGCATCCTCCTGCCTATAATGATGTTGCTTCAGTTTATTGGAGACTTAATGAAAAAGGATGTACTTCTATGTCAGGTAAAACCTTTCTTTTGTTCAGGATGTTCTTCTAAAGAATATATCTTTTATTTTCAAGTAATGAAATGTTCAAAAATATCTTTCTTGATTAGTATGTACTGTCAATAATGTAATAAAAATTACAAAAAATATCTTCTCTGTAAGGCTACCTTATCTTTCATCTTAAAGTACAACTGTCTTAGATGGAATATATCCAGAAAACGAGTTGGTTAGCTGTTTATCCACTAGGAACTAACAAATGATACTGGACTATTCTGGTGATGAACTTGGGTTTTATTCATACTATTTTACTTCAGTTTAAACTATTGTTCCCAGGTAAACAACAAAGAAGGTCTTAGTTCTGATTGCTATCAAATCCTATGTGGTGAAGAATGCTAATGGGGGACTTTTTACATCTCTCTTCAACAAACTGTTATTTGCTTCTGATGTCTGATGACAGAACCATGGTTAGTGATAAAACTCAAAATAAAAAAATCTGCTATTAAATGGGAAAAATGATGTAACTCAGTCTGTATGTTGTTACTTATAATTTTTTTAACTTTTTTATTGACAGGTTTGGAGGCTCCTTTAGCTGACCCTTCAATAAGAAAACGAATGTCTGAAAAATCCAAACTAGACATTAATGAAGGTAAAATATGGTTAGCAACAAATCTATTAATATTGTTCTCTTCTTTTAGTAACACTACATACCAAGGTTTAAATTAATTCATTATAAAATATAGTAACTTATTCCTTACAGAGAAGACTAAACTTTTTATTAGAAGCAAAATAAAATGCCATAAATTTCAATTAATGAAAGAAACAAGTGTTTTTCAATATTCATAATAACTGGGATGTCAGTCTTATTATTTTTTTAATTAATTTTACAGAAAAGAGAGAGAGATGTAATTACCCTGAAGAGGGCAGCCTCAGTTATCCAGCTTATTATGTGTGTAGTAAATATATTAAAGGTTTGAACAAATTAATTGATAATAATGATTATAAACTCATATTAACATATGAAAAAATGAAAGACATCTCCAAAAAATCCAGACTTTTGAGTTCATAGGTCAAATGGTAAAATTTAATACTTTGATCATTCAACAACAAATATTCTTAAGAATATATACAGCAGCTTATGAAAGAGTAGGCCCGGCATGCCTAGGTGGTTAGGGAGCTCGACTTGCAATGTGCGGGTTTGAATCCTCGTTCCACCAAACATGCTCGCCCTTTCAGCCATGGGGGCATTATAATGTGATGGTCAATCCCACTATTCGTTGGTAAAAGAGTAGCCCAAGAGTTGGTGGTGGGCATGGTGATGACTAGCTGCCTTCCCTCTAGTCTTACATTGCTAAATTAGGGATGGTATAGCGTAGATAGCCCTCGTGTAGCTTTGCGCGAAATTCAAAAAATAACAAAAAAAATTGAAAGAGTAATTTAGTATGCTTCAGTACTTAGAATCTGAGCTGCTGACAAAGGTTGTTCTTCAAAACTTTCTAACATCTTTAAGAATCAGATGTGTTTATTTATGGATGAAAATATTCGGTTACATAAAGCTTATCGCTCACTTTTCAGAACTTCGAACGAATAGAGAATTTTACAGGAATGCAGATTTTAGACCTCCATTTACATACGCTGCTTTGATCAGACAGGTAGGCAAACTATTAACCAGTTACTAAAGTCTCAAGACTTCTGTAACATATTGAAACTTATATAAATATATTTTCTCTTCTCTCCATTTATATATGCTGTTTCTGCATTATATTTCCCATGTTTCACTACAACTATATAAAAGTAAAATGAATCAGTTGGTAATTATTTTAGCCCATTCCAAACAATTTTATCTATGTTGAAACACTAAATATGTGTGTACTATTACAATATTTCCAGAATGTGATTTGGAAAACATGAATGTTGTTTGAAGACCAGTTCCATAGGAACTCTTATCACTTACGTTTTAATGATGGAAATGTTAAAAGATAACAACAATCACTGTAATAGTAGTGATAATAACTATGAAGTTGACCATTTATAACCTTCTTTTCTTGGTAGGCTATTATAGAATCCCCCGAGAAACAGCTGACTCTGAATGGAATTTACTGCTGGTTTCAAAACACATTCTGTTACTTTCGGAGAAATGCACCCACATGGAAGGTAGGGTTATATCATTGAATGTGGTAACATACGTGTCTGGGGGTTTAATGTGGTAGTCTCCATCATGTGTGTCTTTGTGGAGATTTAGTGTTGAATGTGGTAGAGTATAAGAGATAAAATTAAAGAAAAGCATCAAAAGTTAAGAAATTTAAATTGATTGGTATGACAGGAGACTTAGAAGATTTAGAAAGTTAGTGAAACAGAAATTAGGACATCAAAAAGGATGTTTGAGAAAAGGTTGGCTGAAAATGTAAAAAATTAACAGTAAGGATTTCTTTAAGTAGATTAAGGGTAAACAAAATGTTAGGATGGTGTAGAACCCTTGAGGGATGATAAAGGAAGGCTAGTATCTGATGATTATGAGATGGCTGGGTTATTAAATTTTGATTTTTCTTCAGTTTTTACTAACTAAGATTTAAGCAGTATTCTACATCTTG